TGTGATTTATGAATACATATTCATTCTTGGAAGAATATGAATGTGCTAGTGGTAGTGAATATGCCACACTCACCTCTAGAAGCAGGTTTGAGATGAATTAAGAAAATAATTCCATTATTATGGCATAAATGATCATTTATCACATAACTATTTTGATTATGCCAAAATATTATGGCAATGTGATTATTACAGGGCAAAAGTAATGAAAGCAACATATCTTGCCTATAATGATTTTGACCATGAACATAATGGTATAACTTTCTCTTTAAAAGAGATATTCAATATATGGATGTTGATGAATATGTGGTAGTACCAAATTAATTGAGAGCTCTGGAAGGGCCAATTGTTACTATTTTGGAGAAACACAATTGATTACCAATAAGGTATTGTGTTGTAGTAAGTCTCAAAGAAACAGTTTCCAAAGTATACGCGAAAGTGGTTGATTATATTGAGACTATAAATAAAGGAAAGATTTAATATCTTCTATTACTACAACTTGTAGCGGGATAATATGTATGTCAAAAGCTACCCGTTTTATTCTCCAGTTTGTACTACACAAATAAAAAAATACCACACTAAAGTGAATATTTATTGATATAAAAACTCATATCATAATAAACTTGGAGTTTATTGATAATTGCACACATCATGGTGTAAATCTGAAGTTTATCAATATTGATAATTTATTCAGTTGGCATAATTGGTTTAGCCATATCAATTTAAGTATGATGTGCAAAAATAATAGAGAATTCATATGGGTAAATATTAAAAGAACTAGAAAGTTCTTTACGAATTCTCTTATATTGCTTGTTCTCATTAATTAATATACCAACTAAAATTGGGATTGAATCCCATGAATGCTGGAAATATCAAAGGTGAATATGGGCCCATTCACCTGCCATGTATACCACATAAGATGCATCTATGAGATGGTTACATGTGCGGTTATTAATGACCCGCAACATGGTATTTTGCGAGGTAACTTGCTCAATAATCTAATTTCGAGCATAATTTCCAGATTTTCTATTCAAGAAGTTCATCTTGATAAGTTGGTTTACATCACAGTTGGTTTAGCAAAATAATTTATTAAGTGCCTTTACTTAATAGCTAAACAATTGCTTATGAGAACAAAGTTATCTATATCAGATTGATATACGTTATATATCAAAGTATATTATTTTCTCCCCTCACAAGTGGTTCAGGGTCAGGAACCAATTTCATCTTATTATTATTGATGTGCGGTGCATATTTTGATTAACACCATAACGCACAAAGGTGGATTTTCAAAGTTGAGGAAACAAGTTAGTTTTTCTAACATGAGGGGGAAAACATGATAAACAGTTGAGAAAAAGTTACGTGGAATGAATTATCATTTGTACACCTAGATCCTCGAATAAGATAATATGAACTTGAAGTTCATAAAAGGATAATTCATTTGCAATATATTGTAAAGCATGCCAGACGCATTTGCTGACCCAAAGAAAGTAACTATATTCTCATTGCAAATGCTCCTATTAGAATAAGTCCTAGAAGGACAAAGTCTATGGTACGCTTAAAGCGTATAGACAAATCGGTTTCAAATAAAACTTCTTGATAAAGAAGATGAGCAAATGATCATAATAAATGAGGCAAGTGATCTAGAAGACCACATGACATAACACTTCATAAAATCTCATGAGAGATTCAGGTACCTGAATATATGAATGAAGAGATCTCTATGTTATGTCTTTATGAAAAATAAGGAGGTTGGAACCGATATAAAATGTTTGTCGACGACATTGATTATAGCACTAAATATATAAGAGGATCTTAAGTCTGGAGAAACAATTCAAGTAGAATTTGGTTTCATATGAAAGACAAAGTTTTTGACCTGCAGTTCAAACACTTAAAAGTATAAAGTCAATGGTGTGTGCTATCACCTTTATGTATCTTATATGTCTGTCATGACATGAAAACTTGATATGCATCTAAAGTCTATTATATGGCTTATATGACTTAACAATCCTTGAAGGATTTAAATTGCTTAAAGAAACTTGATATGCATCTAAAGTCTATTATATGGCTTATATGACTTAAAAATCCTTGAAGGATTTAAATTGCTTAAAGCATATAGAATTCATGGTCATGAAGTACTATATCATAAATGCAATTTGTGCACATATGTATCTTGCTATAACTATAAGCATGATAATATGATAGCAAGAGTTTTCACCCCTATGTTTAGATATTGAAATGATGATTCCAACAAGATCATATGAAGACAATTCATCTATCAGGGATGATGATTTCAAGGTGAAACAAATTCGTTGAAGTTAATATGGCTGATATTGTTTAGCAAATATCTACCAACGATCTTTTGAAGATGGTGCACAAGATTGGAATGCAAATGCTTAAGGATGTGAATTGATGCTCTCATCAGGGGGAGTTAATACACATTGTACTCTTTTTCCCTTACAAGGTTTTGTTCCACTGGGTTTTCCTTGCAAGGTTTTTAACGAGGCAACCAAAAGGCGTATTGTTAGAAATATGTACTCTTTTTCCTTCTCTAAATTTTTTTTCCCACTGGGTTTTATTTTAGTTAAGGTTTTAACGAGGCACATTATCTGTTGAATAGACATTCAAGGGGGAGTGTTATAAATAGAATTGTACTTATGGTGAATGTCTATATTTAGAGAGATTCTAGGGTTCACTGCTTGGTGGCTAAGTCACCATCTCCCTATAAATAGAGGGTTCTATTCCATTGTAATTCATCCAAATCAATAAGAATTCTCTCTCTACTTTTCTCTGTAATACTTTTTTTCTTCTTTTATTGTTTCATAACAAGAATATAATTTAATAGTGTTCAATAGTGAAATAAATGAAAAAAATAAAAAATTACAATAAAGAATTTACTCGTATAAGTAATTTTATTAATAGCAATCAAAACTCAATATGCTTATAGAATTGAGAATAAAAGAGAGTAAATTTTTTATAAATTATACAATGCAGGTAATAAAAAATAATTGACGTAAAATAGAGGTAAATTTTATAATAAATTTGTAAAAAATTTTAACATGAACTTTAATTATAATTTAGAAAAATTTAGTAATAACAATCAAAACTCAAAACTTTATATACACATAGAGAATAATAAATGTAGTGGAACTTAAAATCTATCACACACACACCAGCATACATTGTTGCATTTTAATATACATAATATTAAAATAATAATAATAAAGTAACAATATATTTTGTAATAAATTCAAAATATAATTATTTTATTATATTGTTACTGCTTGTTTGGATGGTTGTTACCCATTGTATCGTATTGTATTGTTATCCCAGAACAATGTTTGTTTTGACTGTTTATTTAAAATTGAGTGTATCGTATCGTTAAATCCATTGTTCCAGGACAACCAAAAGCTCCATTTTATGAAACAATCGATTTGGTGTGGGGGATCGTTTCCTATTTTCTTTTTTCAATTATGCCCTTACTTATTACTCTATAATTCTATTCTATCATTAATTTTTTTTATTTTAACTCAAAATCTCCAACCTATTGACCTGCTTTGTCTTCTTCCATCTTTTCTAGAGTTGGTTTGCCCGTTCTTTTATCCAAGTCTCCGTTCGTTTCTTTGTCTCTTTTCATCATTTTAACTATTTTTTTTGTTGCTAATATTAGTTAACCTTTTTTTTCAGGTTTTTGCTCTTGTTTCCAAGCTACGTAATTAATGATAAATTAGTAGAGAGAGATTCTTTTAAATTATTTTTATGTTGTAATTCTTGATAAATTTTATTTAAAACAATTGAGGGTATTTTAGTGAACTTATAAGTTATAGTACAGTACGATACAGTCAAACTAAACAATTAAATGTTATTTAACAACCACAAACGATACAGTTTATTCAAACGTTATATCCACAAAACGGTACAATATTATTATAAAACGATGGGTAATATCCCAATTGTTCTTCCTTGCTTCTTGGGGTGAATCTTTAATTCTGAAATTTAAAATTCAGAATGGAAGCTTTTAGAGTTTCTTCAAACCCATCCTACGAAATGCTGCCAACCTCAATCCAAACTTCACCCCCTTCAGAATCAAGAAACTCTTCAGATTTCGACAGAGAATTAGAGAATCTAAATGCTGCTAAAAAAAATTGGATCTTTGTTTTTTGGTTTCGAGGTAATAATCATTCTTTTGTTTGAAATTTTCGCAATCATTGGTTTTGGTATGACAAGGTCAGCTAATTACATGAACAATCAAATCATAGAAAAACATGGTATTGATTTATAATATAGTAGTAAAGTGAGCTCAAAATTCTTTAGGTTATAGGTTCAAAATCGCAATTATGATATCCTAGAATATTTTTGAATCCCTTCATATAAATATTTCTGATCCCGACTGTTAAGATTAGAATTATTTATCTAGTGGCTATTTTTGTAAGTGTGGCTATGGCTACTATTGTAACGGGTTAGTTAGGTTGTTAGCTGTCCAGTTTTTAGTTAGTGTTCCGATTTTTAGTTAGTATTTTGTTTAGGCGGTTACAAGTGCCAGTTGTGCAATGCAGCATCTACTATATATGTTTGAGTAGGATTAGCATTTTCAATTCTAATGAGAAATCTTCCCAAAATTTGAGTTCTTCTCGAAGCTTCTATTTTCTCTCTACATTTCGCAGCTTTCAGCCATGGCAGTTGAGCTCGAGCTCAACCATTGCTGATCAACTCTTCGTTCTTCACGTGGTATCAGAGCGTAGGATTTATGTTCCGAGGTAATTCACGATTCTCTCCTCATCCTATCTTCAATCCTAAGTTGAAATTTCTAGGTTTCTTCAAAGTCGTTAGTCTGTTTGAATTTTTTTTAGTCGAAACTGCTATAGTCAGTCCGATCTCGTCTATTGGCAACAAATTTGTTAACATTCTCAGCTTGTGTTCTTCGCGAAGCAATTGTATATGCTGAATTTCATTCCTTATTTTTGAATCGTGGTCAAATTAATTGAGATTTCCGATCTAAACAAATAATGGCTGGAGATAAGGAGAATACTGTGGAGAAGGACAATTTAGATGCATCAAATCCCCTCTACATGCATCCATCAGAGAGTGCAGCTTCAGTGTTGGTACCTGTGGCCTTTGATGGCACAGGATACAGATCTTGGAGAAGAGGTGTGCTTAGAGCTCTTTCAGTAAAGAACAAAGTTGGCTTCATAACTGGAAAGTGTCAGAAGCCAACAGTAGGACATGCAACTTTTGATCAATGGGAGCGATGTGATGATATGGTTACTTCATGGATCTTAAATTCCCTTTCAAAGGATCTAGCGGATAGCTTGCAATACGTGAGTGATGCAAAGGAGCTGTGGCAGGAGTTGGAAGATAGGTATGATCAGACTAATGGAGCAAAGCTCTATCAACTTCAGAAGGAAATAAATGACTTGAGCCAAGGAACCCTTGATATAACGAGGTATTACACAAAGATGAAGAAGTTGTGGGAGGAATTGAACACATTGAATGCACATTCACAGTGCAACTGCCAGTGCACCTGTGGAGCTAAAGCCAACATGCACAAGGCTGAGCAGGATAGGAGGTTGATACAGTTTTTAATGGGCCTAAATGAGGTATATACTATCGTGAGGGGGAGCATATTGATGATGAATCCTCTCCCAAGCATTGCTCAAACTTTCTTTATTCTCATACAAGAGGAGAAGCAAAGGGAAGTTAAGCCACAGAATCAACAGTTAGTAATTGAATCCACATCATTGAATGTTAATGGTCCAGGAAGCAACACCTTTAGGAAAAACTATAACCAACACATTGGAAACAATAGCTATGGAAGAGGCTACATGAGGAATAGACATAGGCCATTCTGTGATTTCTGCAAGAGGCCAGGACACACTAAAGAAAAATGCTATAAACTACATGGATACCCTCAAAATTTTAAGTACAACAATAGCAACAGAGGAAGGAAACTAGCAGCAAATGTATTTGAAGCAGCAAATGATGGAGCAGGTATGCCAGATGAAGGAGGAAGTCATCAAGAGCAGGGCAGGACTATGCAGCAATTAAGCAAAGAACAATATGGACAACTACTGAACATATTGGAGACCTTTAAGAATGGAAACAATGGAGACAATTCTGGAAACATAAGCATGACTGGAGGAGCTGTCAATTTTGCAGGTGTTAATGCCTTTCATTCTTCTATTGAGTCAAACAAACAGTCTTATGAAAGTTTCAAGGAAAATGCTGATTCATGGATCCTTGACTCAGGAGCTACTAACCATATGACCTATAACAAGCCTCATTGAGTAATGTCAAAGTCTTAACTTACCCTTTCTTAGTATTTTTACCAAATGGTTACAAAGTAAAGGTGACAGTAATTGGAGATGTCATTCTCAGTCCTCACTTCACTCTAAAAAGAGTTCTATATGTGCCTAGTTTCAAGTTTAACCTAATTTCTGTTCATTCTTTGACAGTCCAACTTGATTGCATCATCATATTCACTAAATTCTCATGTATTCTTCTACATGGCCTTTCACTGAGGAGGCCTCTGGAGATTGATAAGGCTAAAGGCAGCCTCTACCTTTACCATTCAAGTTCAGAAAGAGTAATTCTTCTGCTGTAGATAAGATTTCCACCACATCACTCACACACAACTCCACACCTAATACAGTCACCTTAGGTAGTCACAACATCAATAATGTAGACACTTCCATTTGTCCTTGTAGTTCAGCACCTAGTGCATCCATTTCTCCTCATGTTTGTGCTAATAAAAGTGTACAAGATTTTCTGAAATCCAATAAAAGTTCAGATTCAGTGTGCAATGCATATGTCTCTAATGAAGATTCTGTGGATTTCTTGTGGCATAATAGGCTGGGCCATGTGCCTTTTATCAAAATGAAGGGTATCAACTCTATACCAATAACTTTGCAAGTAAACAACCTTTTCTGTGTACCATATGCCCCATGGCCAGACAAACTAGACTCCCTTTCCCAGACAAAACCACTTCTACAACCAAGATTTTTTGAAATTCTGCATGTGGATATATGGGTCCCCTATCATGCACCAACTCATGACAATCATAAGTATTTCATCACCTTGGTTGATGACTATAGCAGGTGCACTTGGACACACCTACTGACCAACAAAAACAATGCCTTGCATGTTATGAAAGCTTTCTGTGCAATGGTCCAAAACCAGTTCAATACTTCAATAAAAGCCATCAGAACTGATAATGGTTCAGAATTTGTGAATACTGAAGCAGCCATGTTTTTCCAAACTAAAGGAATCATCCACCAGAAAACTTGCCCTTACACTCCACAACAAAATGACATAGTGGAGAGAAAACATAAATATTTGCTGGAAACTGCAAGAGCACTCCTATATCAGTCCAAATTACCCCTAAGGTATTGGGGGGAATGTATCCTAACCTCCACTTACCTGATTAACAGACTACCATCTACATCCCTCAGAGGAAAATGCCCCTTTGAAGTCTTATATAAGAGGAAACCAAACTACTCACATCTTAGGAGTTTTGGCTGTTTATGTTTTCCTACAAACCTGAAACCACACAAAGACAAATTTGAGTCAAGATCCTCACCCCATGTCTTTGTAGGATACCCCTTTGGATCAAAAGGATACAAGGTCCTCAGCCTAGCCACAAGGAAGATACATGTTTCTAGAGATATGATCTTTTATGAATCAATTTTTCCCTTTACCCTGCTAGGAAAGCAGACTGACTTGGCATCCAGATATGAGCATCTACCTTTTTCTTTTCCTCATATAGGTCCTAGCATGAGTCATGTTGATAATGCTGATCCTGTTCCCAGTCCTACTGAAAGTGAGCCTAATCAACAATTAATGTCACATGGACTTCCATTTGGTAGTGATGATACGGATAACATTCATGAATCAACACCATCACCATCACCTCAACCAATTCACCAAAGCTCCTCCAGCTCAAATGAAACTTCCAACACATCCCCTGAACCATATTTTCACTCCCAAGACCAAAACCAACCTTTTCAGAGTGGTTCACCAGTTTCTGCACAACCTGAACAAGCTGTAAGCCCAACACATAACAGACCTCAAAGAACTCACAAACTCCCTAGCTACTTGAAAGATTACATCTGCAAAGCTCCCACTATCAACACCAATGGTGAGACATCAATAGCAGATAATAGTCATAGTTCACCTTCTTTTTCCTTTACACACATGTTCCCCAATTACAACCTGTTTCTCTCAATGCACTGAGTACTGACAGTCATCATTTACTTGAGACTCTCTCTACTGATTGTGAGCCTGAATCATATGAAGAGGCAGCAGCCATACCTGCCTGGAAACAGGCCATGAATCAGGAATTTGATGCACTCTACTCAAACCATACATGGGATCTTGTTCCACTTCCCACAGGAAAGAGGGCAATAGGTTGCAGGTGGGTATACAAAATCAAACATAAGGTAGATGGCAGCGTTGAGAGGTTCAAAGCTAGGCTAGTTGTTAAGGGTTATACTCAGCAAGCAGGCATAGATTATAATGAGACTTTCTCACCAGTTGTAAAGATGACTACTGTCAGAACTTTAATTAGCATAGCAGCAAAGAAGCACTGGGAGATTTTTCAGCTTGATGTGAATAATGCCTTTTTACATGGAGATCTAAATGAAGAAGTATATATGCAAGTACCACCAGGGCTGTCAGTAGATAACAAGAATTTGGTATGCAAACTAAACAAGTCATTATATGGATTGAAGCAGGCAAGCAGGCAGTGGTATGCCAAGCTGACTGAGGCCTTATGTTCTAGGTGGTACATGCATTCCATGCTAGATTACTCCTTGTTTTATAAGAAGTCAGGAAATTCAGTGGTCTTTGTGGCTGTTTATGTGGATGATGTGCTCTTGACAGGAACAAACTTGGAAGAAATTAAGGCATTAAAAACTTTTCTGCATGAGACATTTAGGATAAAGGACCTGGGGAGACTGCATTACTTCCTAGGTTTAGAGATCTTGTACAAACCTGATGGAGTAATAATCATACAAAGAAAGTTTACAAAAGACCTGATACAGGAATTTGAATGTGCACACTGTCCCCCAATGTCCTCCCCACTTGATCCTTCAACAAAGCTCAAGGCAAGTGAAGGATATTTGCTCACATATCCCACTCAATATAGGAAGTTGGTGGGGAAGCTAAACTTTCTCACCAACACTCGACTTTACATTGCTTACAGTGTTCAACATCTTAGCCAATATATGCAGAGTCCTCGAGACTCCCATTTCAAAGCTGCTATACATGTTCTCAGGTACTTGAAAGCTGATCCTGGTATGGGAATTTTCTTGTCCAATAATGCAGATTATAGATTGCGAGCTTTTTGTGACTCAGATTGGGCTGCTTGTCCTGAGACCAGAAAGTCTGTCAGTGGGTTCATTGTGTTGCTTGGGGACAGTCCAATTAGTTGGAAATCAAAGAAACAATCAACTGTATCTTTAAGTTCTGCTGAGGCAGAGTACAGGTCAGCAAGGAAGGTAGTTGCAGAGCTTGTTTGGTTGTCTAAACTTTTGGAAGAACTGACAATGCCTTTAACCTTGCCTATTCCAATCTACTGTGATAATCAAGCAGCTTTACACATTGCAAAGAATCCAGTGTTTCATGAGCGGACCAAACACATAGAGGTCGATTGCCATTTTGTAAGGGACAAGCTCATTGAGGGTCTGATATCTCTGCACTATGTTCATACAGATGACCAACTGGCTGATATACTCACCAAGTCGTTGACAGGCATTAAACACTCCTCATTACTTCACAAGTTGGCAGTGAGTACCTCCCTTCCAACTTGAGGGGGGTGGGGGGTGGGGTGGGGTGGTGGTGGTGTTAAGATTGGAATTATTTATCTAGTGGCTATTTTTGTAATTGTGGCTATGGCTACTATTGTAACGGGTTAGTTAGGTTGTTAGCTGTCCAGTTTTTAGTTAGTGTTCCGATTTTTAGTTAGTATTTTGTTTAGGTGGTTACAAGTGCCAGCTGTGCAATGCAGCATCTACTATATATGTTTGAGTAGGATTAGCATTTTCAATTCTAATGAGAAATCTTCCCAAAATCTGAGTTCTTCTCGAAGCTTCTATTTTCTCTCTACATTTCGCAGCTTTCAGCCATAGCAGTTGAGCTCGAGCTCAACCATTGCTGATCAACTCTTCGTTCTTCACACCGACACAGTACGTGCGTTCAATTCATTACCGTCTTTCCCCTTCCCCTTCCCAATCATCCAATGTAATGGGAAACATTTCAAAAGAAAATGCAAATATTAACTTCTTTGCAATATACCACACAATCAAACTCTACCATACTCGATATGCAGTATTAACACAGTACAGTTTTTCTTTTCTTTCAAACTAGGCATTAACTTGGCCGAGAAATTCTAGAAACGAGTTAATAAATACATTCAAATTTCGACCAACACAAGAAAGCATTTTTCATCTTTACGCGCCCATGCAATTGAAGCTCTAAAAATCCTTCCTCATTCCTCATCCCTACTCAACCATAAGGAAAGTAAAATAAGAGGAGAAAAAAAGGGAAGTGTTAGAATAAGCAAATTGATATAAACATTCTTAAGCTTATGTAGTATATTTAATTTAGATTACCTTAGAAATTAACTCACCGGAGGTGGCTCAACGGAACTGGTGGCCTAAAGTCAAACCTTGATTAGAGGCCTTAAACAAAAACTTCATATATACTTTTATTTGAAGTTTATGTATCTAGCTTTTTGAAATGTAAAGTTATTAAGTAATAATTTTGTTTATAATTAATTTTTTCTCATAAATTTTTTCAATTAATAATATGTATATATAATCCAGTTAATTAATTATCTTGAGATATTATTGATCTTAAGTAAGATTTTACCAATGTAATTTATAAAAAAAAATCTTTCCGTATATGCAACTAGTTTAAATTTTTTAATATTATTCCATAAAGCAATATATGTATTTGAAAAAAAATAAAGTCCTCTTATATCATTAAGTATATCGAATTATCTATTAGAGTTTTATCTTTTAATTATATTATTTTTCTTAATATTTTTAATTTAAAAATAAGTCTAAATCATCAATATCAATGGACTATTATGTTTCAAGGAACTCTCGAGGTTAATGCAATATTTTTGACCACTAAATAGAAAATCAAAAGTATTTTTATATGCTTCGAATTATTCAAATATATTAAAATTTTCTTTTCATTTTTTTAAAAGATATACTTTTTTAGTTTAGAATGCTTATTTTTTGAAAAAAAATTAATTCATAAACCTGTTACTAGCAAAAATATGAGGCCCCAAAATTTTTGGGCCTAAAGCCTTTACTTGCCTTACCTTAAGGCCGGCACTGTAACTCACAACTTGCATCTGAATCGAGAATGGTTGAGCTCCCTTCACCTTCACGTAGCTCATGCAACCTTACCTGCGCATTTTGGAATAATAAAATGGTTAAAGTGGAGACATACAAAATTCAGCAAAACCAACTATTATGGATTAAAATTTAAAGGTATCAGGAAGTTAGACGTTAAAGATATCAACTAATTTTAGTAAAATGGTTCTTAATTAAGGCCTAGAGGAGATCTATGTTATTAAACCTTGTTCTTTTTTTCAGTTTTTAATACATCAGATAGACGTTACGGCACAAATAAGGGCTACTCTCTGGAATTTGAGAATACTAGATATTTTAAAAGGAAACTTACACAAATGTTCCAAATAAATCTCAACTTACCAACCTCTAGCCATTAATCATAGACTTACCAAAACTAGCCAACAAAAATTGAAAAACCAAATAATAGGGTTCTTTCTCTCAAAGAATCACATGCAAAAATCACATTCCATATTTTTAAGCGTGATTAGCAACACTAGATACAAGACGGAAAGGAAATTTTATGGATGAGGTAGCAAATAAGGTGATGAAATATAAAAAATATATACAATATTCCAAAAATCTAAACAAAAAATGAACTTTTTCAATGGGTATGGTTGAAATTCATTGAAAATATATAGATAAGTCAATATACAAAATTTGAGGAAGATTGGAGGTGATTTGGACTGGTTTTGTATCAAAATTCGTAATTAAATCGAGTTCAAAAAAGTCTTCTGCGACACATGTATCAAACATGTATCACACATGTATTTCACGCACTGGTATACATGGATATACATGTGATACACAATAGATACAAATATGATACACATGTGATACACAAATGATACACAATGTGTTACACATATCATTTTTTTCATGTTCAGTTTTACCGAATTTTCAATTCAAACCACCTCAAAACTACACCAAATCATCCCAAAACTGAGATTCAAGCTCCTTAAGTTGTGCCCAATCTATTTTAATAACACCCACTCAAAACAAAGCAAAAATTTGATATTTTTTTGCTACAAATAGCTAATTGGCTAAACTTGGCTAATATTAGTAATATTTTATCAATTAGCCAATTTTCGTAATAAGCTACTTATAAATGGACATAGCTGGTAATTTCCCTATTTTAAACTTAAACACGACCAAAACATATATAACCCTACCAAATATTGAAATATTAAGAAATACTATAAGGGAATATTGCAAGCATTACTCACTTGCTTTTGGAGATGGATGTTCTCGTCATGAAGAATTTTGTGCTGCATAAGATGAATACACAAAAGTTAATTACTAAAAATAGTTCTTTTCTTTTAAATTAGATAAATATCTTCTGTTAATTTCTAAATCATTAACATTTCTACACTGATCTATTTAGTAAATGTTAATCGATAAGCATCGTTTAATACAAAAATATTCAAGGGCAAACGAGCCACATCCTTTCCATAAACATTTTCAAATTAATAGTTTTTTTGTTGTTGTAAATTTTCAGTTAAAAAACAGTTTTTATTCTTCTAAATATATATCGCTCGTAATAGAGTCTCACCTTTCTCTTAAGCCAGTTGATATGTTCGGAAATGATACGCCCCTGTTAAAAGAAAGTAAATAAACTAATTAGAATTAGCTAACCATACAGCTAATTGTCAAGAATTTGGTGAAAATTAAATCAATTTAAAACTTATAGTATATAAGTTTCTCATGTTTATATACACCTTTTTAGAGCGAATGCGTTCAACCCCAATTCTCAGCTGACGCTCCAACTGCTTCAATTCTTTCATGCCAAGAGTTGATAGATCTTCTCCAGCAAAATGCCTGCCCAGAATATATTTATGAACAATTGGATAGCAAGATCTATTACACGCTCATACGTGACATTTCTACAACAACAACAATAACATACCCAGTAAAATTCCACAAGTGGGGTATGGGAAGGGTAGAATATGTTGGAAGAATTGAATGATTATGGAGAATAAGATTTAGCTTGAGGCGTGTCTAGGACACTGTCCTTAAGGATATTTCGCCCACACCGTGATAAATAAAATTAGGCGCATCCCCCAGGATTCAACAAGCTTTTCTAGAATAAACTAGGAGCAGAAACAACAAAGATTAACAAAATAAAATTTAGCACTGAAAAATATAATATATAGCAGAAGTTTTTACTCTTAATTTTTCCCAACTCAAAGCAGAAAAGGGCTTGGAATTTATAGATAAGAAAACACCATCTCATCAGATGGCTAGCTTAAAACAATAAATCTCCAACGTATATAACATTAAAGGATTAACAAATAATGAGAGGTTAATGACTGTTACAAAGAAAATTCTTTTAACATTTTGTAACTTTTTAAAGCCATTCAAGGCTATTGATAACGGCAGTGGTTTCAAAAGAATTTAAATGATATGAATGCTAACTAAAGGTTTGTTATAATATTATAATAATAATTATTAATCATGGCTAGTAAAGCATAAAGAATATATTATAATTTTCAGTTATAGATATTAAAATATATTCAATTGATTGGTCTAATAAAGATCCATTAAAACAATGAATCTAGACATCAATTTAAATATTCTTTTTGAGATATTAAAATTATTTTTCTAACAATCCCCCACATAACTCAAAAAGAATATTAAGTAATAGAGTAAAATAAAATATTTCGCTGGGTTTTCACAAATAATGCGTCGAATATGGTGTCTCTTGGACTATGAACCAGACCTAGATAAAATAAGAATAAACTTACAGAACAATTGGTGAAGTTTAAAACTTCTATGAACCAAGAATTCTTTTGTAAGTTTAGTGTCTTATCTATCACATTATACTCGCACAAACTTTGTTGTTTGACGCGGTTTTGCGCTAATAGGCCATGCGCGCGCCTGATTTTCATGAGTGCTCTAGAAATTTCGCCACAAATTTGATAGGAGCGGCCAAACTCCACACTCATATAGGTCCATCCAATGTATTCTGCAGCACAATACACCACCCACAATAGGCTATGGATTATTGAATTAAGAGTTTAATAACTCAGCCTCACATTCCTTGCAGTCTTGCACTATATACACGCACACACCATAGGAAGAGACATAATTTGATAGTGCATATTTGATCAGCTAATGACTTGTTATTACCCATATGAACCTACTTCATGGGATCTCCAATCACATAGGTTGGGTTACCATCATTGTTGATACATCTCAATTGGCAAAAGTCTCAACCCCTCGATGTTTCACTTATAAGTCAAAGGATCGACCAAATCCTCTTTTGACTACACATAGTATGCATAAAAAATTCTCATCTCTAAGCAATTGCTTTATGACATTATATCTTAAAAAATATGTCTACTCTTCCCATTGAAAGATATATTTTCTTACAATGGTTATTGCGCCTTCGCAATCTCAATTCATCGATATAATTATTGTCGGTTTAACTCACCAAGAGGTTGCTTAATCAACCTCACTTCCATGCAATTTTAATACAACACATACCAAAAGGTAACCACACAATCACTATTGAGCTTTTCTCATCTGAATCAGAGATTTAATATCATCACTGTATCCTTCTAATACAGTGGAAAATTCACATTTAAAATACTAACTCATAGCATTTCTCAAATAAGGCATAAGATCATCTCAATTGAAATGAAACTTAATTTCCTTGCAAGTGCCTTTTCAAACATCTTTCAACACATAAGAATTTATTTTCTTTTTGTATCTTCCATTGCCAAGTACCAAAGTAAAATTTTCTAAATATAGAAGCAATTTTAACTTCTACAGAAATATCTCAAATCAGTAGGAAACGGGTCATAATTCAACGATTTCTTCACCCGAATGACTAAGAGACCCGAAGCAACATAACTTTTGAAAGTCAGAAATACAAGATATTTTCGATCTTCCAATACAAATTTTTGCCACAAAAATTTCGATTTTGTAATGCTTTATTATAACACTAATAAATAATTTTTTCTCACATTTTTCCTTCTTAGGATCAGGCTATATAACTCTGGACACCATGGTCCCCCACATTTTCGAAAATTTCAGGTTAAGGATATAACCTTTTTACAACTCATAAGGAGTTCTGCTTTATAAATAAAAAGCTAATAATATAGCTTCACCCCGAAGATTTCCTTCTATTTAGCTACATTATTAGATTAAAAGAATATGAAGGTCTTATCTCATGTATTATTCCTGACCACATCACATCATCGTAGTAGTTTATTCGCATTAATTATTTTTCATACAAAAGAAATCAAGACCTCATAGTACCTTAGAGTAGCTAATGTGTCACTTATAAATAATTTTAAATGACTTTATTTAGAGGACCAAATTGATATTCTCATGACTCAAATAAAACTAGTTAAGCCATATTTGAATAAATATAGTGCAAAAATATTAAGATCTCAAAATATTATGAATACTATATCAACAACAACTACCCAGTAAAATCCCACTAGTGAGGTCTGGGGAGGGTAGTGTGTACGCAGACCGTACCCCAAGCCCGAAGGAGTAGAAAGGCTGTTTCCGAAAGACCCTCGGAACTACCCATACTATATCATCATCAACAAATATTTAAGAGAGTATTATTTTAATTAAAAGATGGGTAAATATTCTTAAAGAAGTAGAATATATCCAGTTGATGTGACACTTAAAAGATGAGAAACATAAGTAAGGTAGATGATTTTTCTTCTTTATATGTGTCTATTATATGACAACTTAATATCATTTTCACCGGATCAACTTAAACATAAAAATAATTCACCATTTTAAAGACTAATCGAAACAAAAGTACAACATGAATTGTTCCATCATTTCAAAAACAAAATTCACAAAAACTTAAGAGTCATTTTTTTTCATCTTATATGTATCAACTTGATGCCAAAGTTCTGTCTATTATATTCTCACGAGAATAAGCATAAAAGAATAAAAAACTAAGGAAATATTAAACCAATTATGCGTACCTGGTATACGTAATATTATGTCATACACAAACATATCAAGCGTAGAAGAAGTCACCGTCTTTTAAAGTATAGTAGCATCTTTAGCATCCCTTAGAATGCGCATTGACTTGGAGTAATACTTCGTAGCTCACAAAATTAATTTGAACTCCATAAGACTATTGTGCAAACTTGAAGTACAGGTCCCATTTTCAAAAATAACTTGGACAACGTCAAACTTGATTCTCCATAATAAAATAGTGTGTAAATATCCTTAAGATTGTTGGAAGAATTGAATGATTATGGAGAATAATATTCAGCTTGAGGCGTGTCTAGGACACTGTCCATAAGGATATTTCGCCTACACCGTGATAAATAAAATTAGGCGTATCCCCCAGGATTCAACAAGCTCTTCTAGTATAAACTAGGAGCAGAAACAACAAAGATTAACAAAATAAAATCCAGCACTGAAAAATATAATATATAGCAGAAGTTTTTACTCTTAGTTTTTTCCACCTCAAAGCAAAAAAGGACTTGGAATTTATAGATAAGAAAACACCATCTCATTAGATGGCTAGCTTAAAGCAATAAATCTCCAACGTATATAACATTAAAGGATTAACAAATGATGAGAGGCTAATGACTGTTACAAAGAAAATTCTTTAACATTTTGTAACTTTTCAAAGCCATTCAAGGCTATTGATAACGGCAGTGGTTTCAAAAGAATTTAAAGGATATGAATGCTAATTAAAGGTATGTTATAATATTATAATAATAATTATTAATCATGGCCAGTAAAGTATAAAGAATATATTATAATTTTCAGTTATAGATATTAAAATATATTCAATTGATTGGTCTAATAAAGATCCATTAAAAATATGAATCTAGACATCAATTTAAATATTCTTTTTGAGATATTAAAATTATTTTTCTAACAGAATATACGCTGACCTTACCCTACCCTAGAAGGGTAGAGAGGCTGTTTCCGAGAGACCCTCGGCTCAATAGAAGATGCGTGATATTTCTGAATTTGCATATTGAACTTTTTTTTTTGGGGTAATTAAAGATTTGTATTTACCAAGTATAAGTATTTACACTCTATCAAAATTTAAGACTTTCTATCAAAGCTCCTGCTGGACATGAAGCTCCAACGTTTGCATATTGAACTTAATTATACACGAGTTGTATTTTATTGTGAAGAATAAAAAAGTTACTTAGTATTCCTCAAGCACCGTGGCACACTTCACCGTGGCTGCAGGGAAACTTGCCTGACCATGATAATATCGGTTGATTCAGGAGCGGTTACGTACGGTGCAGTCCAAACATAAAAGTTATGCTGATAGAAAGGTTTGCAATATAGCTTTTGTGGTGGGTGAGAGGGTTACTTCTCATGGTTTCACCTATGAAAAGCGAAATGAGAATCGAGAAGAAGAGCAAACTGAGCCTTCGATGCATTGTTCCATTTGAACTGAACACTACAAGCTAGTTCATAAGGTGCGAATTGTCTAAAATTAAAACTGTAGCTCATTTCTCCAAGTAATGTGGGACTCTTATCAACGCACCCCGATTGACACTCTGGTGCTAGACATCACAACATAATATGAGGGTCAAATATTAAGTAAACCAAAAATGTGGGTGAGTATAATTAACTCCCATTCTATTTAAAGATGTACATTAGCCCTAACTAAATTCCAAAAACTCGACCAAGATCATATAAATAGACAATTACTCATTCCCTCAATTTATGTGGGACACTTAGGCCTCATTTGTTTGCACTTAATGGAGGTCTGAATCTTAATCATTCAGATCTCAGACATCAAGTGTGTTTGTTTTTAAAGTCTGAATCTTAATTATTCAAATCTTAATCATCAAGTGTGTGTGTTTTTTTTACTCCACAACCACTTAATGGGTCTGAATAGGTCTGTATGATTAAGATCTATAACAGAGACTTAATTTCATTAAGATGCTATCATATATTGATTATTAACTGCCGCCGCCACCTACCATTGTCAACTACCACCATGCCGCCACCACCACCATACTCAACCATCACCACCACCACCACCACCACCCCCACCCCCACCCCCACCACCTCCGCCACCACCACGCCACCATCATCCTTAATCATTGTCTCCATTATCGACCATCACCACCTACTATCCCCACCATTCCGACCACCATCATTCTCACCCACAATCAACACTGATCCACCTCAACTACCACAACTGACCACCCCATCACCATCAACAACCACAGCCGGCACAACCCATCAATATAACCTACCACCACCCACCTACCACCTTCCTCAATCACAACTACTACCACCACCCGACATTATTAACTATCACCACCCACCACCACCATCCTTAATCATAATCGCCACCACTACCAATCACTACTAGCTACTAGCATGAACCACCATCATCAACCAAAACTACCACCAACCACCGCCTCTAGTCGGCATTCACCCGTTAGCCATCACCACCAACAACTATCATATTTTAAAAAACTATATATTTTATTGATAGAATATTAGATTAGTTAGTATTTCATTTGAATTTTATGTTTATTAATTTTTAAATAATGATAAATTTTATACATTCAGATGTTAAAAATCAAACAGTCTTAATTATTTCTATTCAAATCTTAATACACATCTTAATATATTCAGATGTGTATTCAGATTCAGATGTCTTAATCTTAATACACATGACGTCTTAATCTTAAAAAAAACAAATGAGGCCTTAATACCTCTCGCTTCCCCCCCCCCCCCCCCCTAAAAAAGTAGTTTAAGAAAGTTTTTAGTATAAAATAGACATTTCAACATACTTATCTCTGGCTTCAAGTTCATCTATTGTTCTGGTCATGCCTTCAATGTCAGACCTCCGGACCTAATCGATGAGAAGCAGAGTACTCGTCAAATTAGTTTATCAAACTAATATACGGTGACAAAGTTCCAAATAGTAGTGTTAGAAAAACAATTATAAATAATAAATTACTCTAAATATGGCGCTTACAAGAAGTTAAATTAAGAGGAAATTGATTACCTCCGTAGCTTTGAAGCCTTGATCATTAGTTTTGGACAATCCAACTTCATTCTTATATCTTAAAATGGTCCTATCGATGCTGCTTCCATTAATAAAACAATATTAATCTCATTTTGTTACAAACAGTAGAACAAGTATAATCCAATACCACATGAAGCTAAAAGTTTGATGATTTTTCCCCTTTGTACATGCAAACTTTTACAGAATACTTTGCATTTGCTTGGCCTGATTTTTATTTTAATGGTCTTTAATAACAGCTGCGAGACACTCCGTTAGAGACCTGAACCCTTTAACCTTTAACAAAATAATTTCTTAATAAAACCTTCCTAACGGATTTATATTTGTTAGTTTTATAGTTTAAAAATGAAATAAACTAGCTATACCTCAGGAAATAGAAAGTTACTGGACTTGGATTTATAACTATAAGTAAACATCGCAACAACCTAGTGAAATCTCATAAGTGAGATCTGAGGAGGGTAGTATGTACAGTGACGAAGTTAGGAATTTTCTAAAGGTGTTCAAACTTTAAATAAGTGAAAGAATTCGCCAATAAAGGATGTTCAATATATGTTATATACCTCTAAAACCTAATATTTTACCTATATACACAATATAATTTTTCGACGAAAGATGGTCAATTGACCACCCTTGATAGGCTGTAGCTTCGCCATAAGCAGACCTTAATTACCCCTACTTTTTTGTAAACATAGAGAGACTGTTTCTGATAGACTTCCGGGTAAATGTTACTACGTTAGAAAAGGGGTGAATTTAGGATCTATAGTTAGTGGACTGTGATCTTTGTATATATATACATTTTCTTTTGTATACTTGTATACATTTCAATCCAAAATTAAAAGAATGGTGTTTAAAAAATGAAGACTTACTCATGACTAGCGAACTGGTAAGCTTTGCCAGAGGGAGAGAAAATGAGAAGGGCAACCTCTGCATCACAGAGAATAGAGAGTTCAAAGGCTTTTTTAAGTAATCCTGTTCTTCTCTTGGAGAAAGTAACTTGCCTGCTCGTTTGATTCTCTATTCTCTTCAATTCTACTTTCCCTCTCCCCATTATTATTATTATTAATCTCTCTACTACAGATAAGGGCTATATATTTCTCCCTCCGATTCTTACACTACTAATTTTTTTCTTTTTACCCTTCTTGTTTCAAGAGAGAATTAATATTCATTGCACCTTAATATATACACATGTAACGCATGACATCACCCTTGCCAATCATGGCGTAGTATCATCTACTCAATTTCATTTTCCTTTTTAAACTGTCTCATAATTGTTGGGATATATACTATTAACCATGGATTTGGTTTAGATATAGTTTTATTATGATAATATTGTTCATTTAATTTTAATAAAGTTTTAATAGATCATATATTAGTCGGTGTTCTTTGTTTATATAGTAGATGATTTAGTGTATAGAGTTTAGCTTATACACTGATGATAGACTATAATTACGTATTTTAGTCGCTTATTACACTATAATTTACTGCACTTTAATTGAGTTTGCGCTTTAATCGCTAGTGTTTTGCACTAATTGTGTGTTTTATGCCTTGTAGGTGTGATTCCGAGCTATATAGATGTTATGGAATGAATTTAAGTGATTTGAAGCTTTGAAGTCTGAGTAAAAGCTCAAGGAATTAAGCCGGGATCGTGTTCGGGGGTCAAATTTGATAATTAAGTACGAACGAAGACTTGAGGAGGTATATTTTGCACTGTCTAGTAAAATAGACATAACTTTTTTCTAAGAACTCCATTTGGGCTTCACAATATATGGTTGGAAAGCTAACTCAAAGGGCTACAACTTTCATGTTTTACGTTTTTCCAAATTCCAAACGGAACAGGATGAAAAACCGCGGTTCCACCGCGACCGCGGCAGAACCGCGGTAGAAGATGGTCGCGGACAACTGAAGAATCAGAGGGCATGTTTGGCCGCGGTTCCACCGCGACCGCGGCAAAACCGCGGCAGGAGGCGGAAATTTCAGGGACTTATGTGCAAAACACGGGATTTTAAGCCCTAAACCCTATATTAAACCAAGGAAGCCGGCCAAGAAAGGGAGGGGGACATATTTTGGACATAGATTCGACCTAAGGAGGCAAGAACACATTGGGAGCAAGGCGGAGAATTCTTCTACGAGTTTTTTTCTTCCTCTTCCTGTTTTTCATTGTTGATTATGACTTTTAGTATTGTAGTTTTACATACTATTATGAATAGCTAATTTGTTATCTAGAGTTTTGATAGAACCTTTTGTAGGATAAATTCTTGTTATGTTTTTATATAATTGAGCCATAGCCTTTTCTCTATTTGTTCAACTACGTTTATATTGTGGTTGATTGAAGAGCTCTCAATTAGCTGTGCCTATTTAGTACGCATAACTCGGGAGAGAGTGCACATTTAGGTAATTGTTGAACAACACCACTCCCAGAGTATATGAGGGATCAATAACCGAGGGTTTAAAGGTGGGATTAAGGATAACGAAGCCTTGGGTGCGATCTGAAGTGAGCTGTATTAAAAGCCAGCTAGCGTAGCTCGGGAGAGTGCGTCTAGTAAATTTTCGTAATTACTCAGGAGAGATTTACGGTAATAAGAGTGCTCATGATCGGTAGAGAATACTTAGGCGAAATTATAGAAGACATAGCGGGAAGGATTCCGACAATTGGGGAAATCATAACTCTAGACCTCCTTAATCTTTTCTCTAACCCTCAGTATCGTTAGTTGTTAATTTACTATTTTAATTTGTTAGTTAATTAGTTAAACAGAAGAATCTTAGTATCTATAAGTTAGGAATTGTTCAAGCTTGTCTTCTTGGTGATAGTGAACGGCTGTAGCTAAACCTTAGTTCTCTGTGGGATTCGACTCCGGACTTGTAAACCGGATTATATTTGCAACGACCGCATTGTCCTTTTTATAAGGCATAGTTGGGCGTGATCAAATTTTGGTGCCGTTGCCGGGGAACTAACGGTGTAGTTGTAGGTGTACATATTGCTAGGTTTCAAGTTTGAACTTTTATTTTATTATTTGATTTTTTTTATTTTTTTTTATTTTAGTTTTATTTGTTTATTTGAGAAACATGACATCATGGAATTATGAGAATTTTGTTGTTGGTAATTCTACTTTTGATCCTCCTTATGCATATTGTGAAGGAAACCACCCAGGGCAAAATTATCAAAATATTCCTGAGAGCGAGTTTTGTGCACCAACTCAATCTTATGTGTGGAATGTGTGTGATATGTGTGGTGGTCAAGATGGTCACTTTCACGGTTGTGCTTATATTTCTTACCTTCCCCCAACCCCTTACTTTGATGGTTCTTCTTTTTCTGGTGAAGTTAATAGGAACAAAGAACCCAGGGAAGCTGACCTAAAGAAGATCGAAGATATGTTAAAGTGCATTTTGGAACAACAGAGTAAATTACTACTGCCGATAGAAAGGCAGGAGGAAACTATTCACAACTTGAAAGTTCACATGAGTCAACTGGTTGAAGTTTTTAATGCTCAACAAGCCAATATTGTGAATAGTATCCAAGAAGAGCGTGAATTAGATACAAAAATTGATGAGCTAGAGGAGGAGGCTAGAGTAGAACACCAACAATCAATCACACTAGATTTTGAGGATGTCGATATTGTAGAAGAGATACTAGAGTCAACCAAGGATATTGAGGACACATATTTAGTTGACTCTATTGTCATTAGTGTTGAGAATGTAGACAGTCCCAATGTTCATGTAGTTGAGCGCATTGGTCCTCACTCCAAGTATTTTTCCACATTGTGTTTAGATGATGATATGGAAATAGAGTCGTCCGAGCCATTTGAGGAGTCAAGGTATGAGGAACAAAGTGCTTACATTCTGGAATTCTTCTTGCCAGAAAGTCGGGATTACACACCTCATATAAAGGCCAAGAAGTGCAGAATACTACATTATTTTATTGGGCCAGTCAGATTCGTTCCACCACCCCAGGAGCATGATCATAGAGCAGAATCAAAACTTGGGGTCTGATTCATAAGTTCACAGTGGAGGCAGAAAGTGATTCACGTCGTGCCGCGGCGTTAAATCAAGCGCTTGTTGGGAGGCAACCCAACTTTATTGCTTTCTTTTATTTATTTATTTTTATTTTTTTAATTGTATTATTTTTGTAGTGTCAATTTTTTATTTTCTAGGAGCATGGAAAGCAAAGGTATTGGAAGGATGCAACAGCAAACCAAATGGTTGGAACTAAGTGTGAGGTACTCGCACGAAGGACCAAGGTAGGGAGAAGTCTGAGTACCCCATGAACGGCTAGTGCTTCGGTCTTTGGCCTACCAGGGAGTTTCTTTTACCTTCTTGTATGTATGGATGTGCATTGGGGACAATGCACAATTTTAAGTGTGGGGTGAGGAGATTGTCTGGGTGATTTTTCATGCTACTTTAACTGTGTTTTTTATTTTAAAAGATTGGACTTTTCTTGATGACGGATCTTCTAGAAAGTTTTCTTGAGGGAAGTAAGTCTAAAGAAAATAACAAAAAGATTTTTTGTTTTGTTAGGTAGTGTAACAATTACCCCTTGGTTTTTCTTTAAACCACGGTTCTTTTCCAAGGGTTTTATTTGAACCGGGTGTAGTTAGTTTTTTTTTTGGGAATAGGAGCCATTGTGTTTTGTTTTGAAATGAAGCAATATCTCTTGACTTTGTTATGCCTTGAGAATAGTGAGTACTTTGGCTGTGACGCTTAGGCTCAGTTTTTGACTGTTGTATAAGTACCTTAAATTGTATGATCTTAAATTTGCTTAACTGCTCTGACTAGGGTGTCTTGATGAATCCAATCCTGAGTGAGTTATGTGCCATGTGTGTGTAAGGTTTTGCATTATTCAGTGCATTGCATTTGATGCCTAGAACTTGTCCCGTGTGTTTGCAAAGCGAAATAGTAGTTTTATTCAGTCTAGGAAGTGATATAGGCATTTCTTTGTTGAGCCAGATAGGTATATTTTAACCACCTAATTGTTATGTATCTTAGTTAACCTCTTTGAGCCTATAATCCTGTTTCTTGGCAACCACATTACAAGCCTTACCCATTTGTTGGAATTAACCATCTATTTGAACCATTGTAACCTCTCATGAGCACTTGAATTATTTATGAACTTTGTAAAAGTTAAAGTGTGGGGTGGTTGGTTTGGCTTTTGAGTGGAACTAATGAAATAAGGAGAAAGGTGCACTGTTTTGAAAAAGGAAGAGCCACTTGAATTGAAAACAAAATAGTTGGATTGTTGTGAAAAAAAAAAAACTCTTGATAAGTGGTGGCTCTTGACGTAAGTGTGCTTAAAGAAGAATGGGGTAATTTACACTGATGTGAAGGTGGAGTTTGGTTTGACATAAGTATGGGGTTTGAATGTTAAACTATATGTATTAAAGTGCTTAGGGAGGTGTAGTCACTCTTATATCTAAATGTATCCTACCCGTCCCGTAGCCTACATTACAACCAAATAAAGTCCTAATTGATTCTAGATTGAATGAGCTCGATTAGTAGAGTAGTACACTATGGGCAAGCTTGTCGTGCATCTTTTGTGGCATATGAATGTTATTTCTGAGAGTGAGTGAATTCTTTCTATCTTGAGTTCCTAAGTGTTCTTAACTTTTATTGTGTGGAACTACTCTCTTTTGTTGTGTGAGGGCACTTGATTCATGAAGGAAAGGTAATGTCAGTCACCTCTATATTAGAGTAAGTGGGTGAGTTGTGAATAACGTGTGGTACTTTTGAGTCAAATCTTGAGGTGAAGATGTTACGCTTTTGTGCTTAGTCTATTTTAAATACTCTTGGTGTGATGAGTTAGGAGAATTGTTTAAAAAGGTCATGTCTATAAAAAAAAGTGTAGTTTGATTGCTCGAGGACGAGCAATGGTTTAAGTGTGGGGTGTTGATGATAGGCTATAATTACGTATTTTATTCGCTTATTACACTCTAATTTACCGCACTTTAATTGAGTTTGCGCTTTAATCGCTAGTGTTTTGCACTAATTGTGTGTTTTATGCCTTGTAGGTGTGATTCCGAGCTATATAGATGTTATGGAATGAATTTAAGTAATTTGAAGCTTTGAAGTCTGAGTAAAAGCTCAAGGAATTAAGCCGGGATCGTGTTCGGGGGTCAAATTTGATAATTAAGTACGAACGAAGG